TTTTCCAGAACATATGATTCAACTAATTATCCTATATTTTACTGTTTGTGATGGGAATCCCCATGCAGCTGAAAATAACCGAGCTCAGATTAGTGGAACAACTGAGAGAATCAACAAAGTAAGTCTCCAAATTTCTTGATTCCGAGGAAAAAGACAGGTTCCGCGGACATCCCAGAATAATTAGCGGGGTTCTTGAATTTCTAATGCAAGGTGGAGTTTCATCAGGAGTTTCTCCCGAATAATATGGACTTTGACATATGATGGCATGTTTCAGGTCCAAAAGTACAGCTTTCCACCGAACAATACCCCAGTCTCTAAAGTGTACGTATTTGGAAGGCCCGTCTATGTAAGGCAACCTTTTGTAGTACCTCAGAGAGGTTATCGACCAAGTAGGTTCCTCAAAGCGATTAGTCCAACCACACACAAAATTTATTTATTTGAAATTTTAGGACATGACAGCCATGTGATGCGAGACGAGAGATCATTTCAAGGCAATGCAGATGCCTTAGCAGATGCCGTCGAACAAACCGTTGTTCAGGAAGCTATGGTAAAGCAAGTCAGTGATGCAAAAGTTTTCCTATTTTTCATTTTGTTTTGAAAGAAGTTAGTATTTTTGGCAACAGATTCCACTACGTAGTAAAATGTCAATTATTTTTTACCTGTAAATCAAAATCACGACTTGTTATTCTTTTTTGGAAATACATAACGGATTTTAGAGGTTGTTGCTATTATTAGAAGCTTTAATCAAAATAAGCCCATGGAACTAAAAATCATCACATTCGTGCATTGTTCCAGTTCTTCACAGACACCGACCCTTTGCGATATCAGCTACCTGAACGACCGTTTCCACCTTCGGACAGATATGGACCAATACCTGCTCCTGTAGAACCAAAGCATCGATATCCCCTTCCGCAGTGCTACACCAATGACAGCGGTAAGGCTGAGAGGAAAAGTGCAAAGATCCGAGCGCACTACTTTTATTTTATTAAATGTGAGACTTCGAATGTAGTGGTTGTCTAGAGAGCTTCGAGAAAGTCGTTTTTAAATAGAGAATGACTAAGATCTGCCGGTTTTTTACATTTTCGGATAGTTGCTATGTTTGACATCCGAATGCTTCTTA